GATTTTTAAAAGATTTTTAATCTGAAAAATTGATAATATTTTTATCTATGGAAGAGAAAATACAATTTAACCATTGAAACAATGAATAAATTATCATTTGTGATACTTTTTTTGGGGAGTAAACAACATGTGATTAGGTCTTTGTAGCTATACCATCTACCACTGAACTAAACCATTCGATGTTTTTTTATTTCCAAAGAGTAAATTTTAAATAATTTCAATTTTTTAGTTTATTTTAACTAGTTGAACTTTTTACCATTTGGTTTGTAAGTATAGGCATACATCGGATGTGGTAAATAGGGCTATCTTGGCAATCGAACCCGGATGCCAAAATGGCAGTGCCGTTACCTTAACCATTACTCTATGCTGCCACTCTATGATTATTCGTGCAAGCAGAGAGTTTTACATATCAATTATTTTCAAACAGCCATCTTTAACTACGTTTCGTTAATTTTTCTAAAAGGTTTTCATAACAGATTTTACAGGATGATGTACATTTTTCGCAAGAACTACAAACGTAAATTGTATTCGTATTCATCCATTCATTGTCATTCATTCACCCACTCACTCACTCACTCACTCACTCACTCACTCACTCACTTACTCACTCACACACACACACACACACACACACACACACTCACTCACTCACTCACTTACCCACTTACTCACTCACTTACTCACTCACTCACTCACTCACTTACTTACTCATTCATTCATTCACTCACTCACCCATCCGTACGTTCGTCCGTGTCCGTCCATCTATCCATCCATTCATTCATCATTCATTCATTAATAAAAACACTTTTCACAAAAACCAAACACAAAAGTTAAAATTTTATATAAAAATTCCCCCCCCCCCAAAAAAAAACGTGTATATCAAAATTTCCCAATTCAGGCAGCACAAAACGTTGCTACACTTGCCGCGGCCTTGATTGCTTCAAGGTTAACCGGACCACACCGACCACAAGCGCCAGCATGCGAATGTGCACGTTCACAATCGTGGCTAATAACAGAAGTAACTCTATTATTTTTTATCCTAATTTTTCATTTTTTTTAATGTTAAAATTTTTAAAATTAATTTTTAAGAAATTACTACTAAACGCGTCAATGAAGCTTTTATGCAACCAGAGATTTTGTAACGTTGTAGAAATACAAGTGTTATGCAGTTGTAGTTATGCTAAAATTGTTGTAATTTATTCAAAAGTTGCACTTTGACATGACCAACAGAGCTGCTTTTTTCAGAATTTTGAGGTCTACACCTATTTAGGCTCTGAGGATGGCATTTCGTAGTTCTTCATTACATAAAATTATAGTTATATAGTAATACAAATACTGTTTTCAATACTATGATGGCTAGTATTATTTTTTACTAGTGATACCTTTGGAACCAGTTCTTTTACTACAATTTCCACAGCTAGTTTTACAACAAGAGTGTCTCAGTCGGTGTTTTTTAATAAATGGGTTAAAGTCTGAGCTGGCTATTTTCTTTTGTTATCAATGCCTCGTTACGCCATTTCAACAAACCACATCATCGTTTTAATCGTCACCTGCAATAAATTAAATTTACAGAACTGCATTTTCGAATCAAACTTTTTTGAAATTATTCATCTCTTTGGCAACATTAATAAAATTTTAAGTTAAACGTTAGCGCCGGTATCTGCCACTAATGATAATTGTAATAAAACATTGAAGGGATTTAAGCTTTTAGACTACTACCCCCTCAAAAACAATACATTTTCAATTTGAAATTTAATGAATGAATTTATTTTCATAAAAAAAACAATAATTAAACATGAAAATTAAACTTTTTAATGAAAGAAAATCAAGGCGGTATGTATGAATTCGAAAGAAACGGAGTTGAACTGTTAGCCAGAGAAAGTTATTGCAAATGTAGTGAACCTTCAGATTCGGCAAAATGCGTTTTTACATGTACTGATGAGCTATGCAATGACGACAACATGCCATCTTCTTCAATGGTAAATAGGGCACTTTCGGTGCTGGGGCGGTGTAAGAATTTTATGAATGACGCTCTGAACAGGTTCTTCGACAGGTTATCTGGTTAGTTAGGGTTCTCAATGATTGTTTTACGGTTACTGATTTCACGATTTGATTGGCAGAATTTTTGAAATTTTTTTTTACAGTCAATGATCAAATTTTAATTCATATATCAACCAGTATCAGTAGAAAATTCGCCGTGTGCAGTTAAAAAAAATTAAAATTTCAAAATTTACAAAAGTGACTCATTAAAAATGTAAAAACACTCATTAAATTTGTAGCTGGTGACTTAGATTGCATGAGCCAGACCGCCACCCAGTTGCAGATCTGCACTGTGACTTTCACTAAAACCTTTGAAAACGAGTATTTAAAAACCCCTAATTACCATTTTTAATTGTTTTCTTCATTCAAATAAAAACAGCTATTCTATTATCAATAATTATTAATCAATAATTTTTAACAAATTTCAGAACCTCGTCAAAAATGGAAATCTCTAACGGCGTATCGGATTTAACAACGAAGAAAAAAGTTTGCCTCTGCCAGCCTTCTGAACAAACCTGTACCCTGTTTTGCCTCAGTGCTAACTGTACGTCGGAGATCAAAGAATATAAGTTTGACGTTGGAAAAGATGAACTCCAGATGGGGTGTTAATTTTATAAACTTTTTAAAATTTTTCTGCTTACTCTCTTTATTCTGTTTTAATAGGTATTTATCCTAAGGTGTGGTGACCTTGACATTTTCTTACATTTTTATCTTTGGGCTTATCTTCTGGCTTAGAAGATATAAAGCAGAGTGTCGGTAATACAGATGTTGACATTTTTATTTGATTAATATGTTAATGTTTCACTAAAGTCACTAAACTTTAAAGTTCTTCCAGTACAGCCGATTAGTTTAATTTATCGGATTACGGACATTGACAATATTGGGTAATTGGGTTAAATTTCATTATTTTCCATAATAATAATGAAAATATTTCAAATAATAAAATAATTTCGTGTTATCGATGTATTTATAGTCATTTAAATATCAGTCTTTGGAAAATTTGTTTTTGGTGTAACTTATGTTGTGTGTTAAAACTTACAATTACCAAAAAATTGTAAATAATAATAACAACATTTATGATGATAATAATAAAAATAACAATAATAATAATAATAAATTTAAATCTTAAAAGAATTCGTTAACAGATCAGAATAAACTAAAATTTATTGACCATGCTTAATCAAAAAAAAAAGCATGACGCAACTGCTGTTGTCGTTACATATTCAAATTATGAAATTGAAAACAATGAGTAAGTTAAACCATGGCAATATATATATATATATATACATACATACATATATATATATTTTTAAATCGAAAAAACGAACTACAAACATATTTACGCCAAACATTCGGTAGAATTTATAGAATATTGTAAAAATTATGGCCTATTACCAACATATATATATATATATATATATATTCATGGCCAAACTGATTCATTCAAATAAAACCATTAACTTTAAATTTTATATTTCAACATCAAGAAATATTTTAAATTAGCGGATATTATTTTTAAAGAATTATTAATTATGTTATTTATATATGATTGGAACATCTCAGGTTTATATTATAGTAATTTTCATTGTAGACTGACTCTTTATTTCAAATATTTGTTCGTTTTAAAAAAAAAACTCTAAAACGGATAAAATCAACTGAAATGGGTAGTGCACTGTCTAGATTTTTGTCAGTTTTTGTTGTTGTTTCAGTTCTTTCTGGCTCTACATCTGGTTAGAATAAGTGAATTTTTTTTGTAAAATTATCTCTCCAGCCTATAAAAATTGGTTGGAGAGATGGTATAATGACTAAAACGCTTGGTCTCGCTACTGCCTAGAGATCCCCGAGATCCCCAAGCATCGAATGATGCTCTCATTCTCTCTCTCTCTATCTTTGTGTGTGTGTGTGTATGTGTGTGTGTGGTGTGTGTGGTGTGTGTGTTGTCGATACCTCTAAGGATATAATTTAAAAAAATGATTAACAAATATCTACATTACAATGAGACAACAATAATAATTCGTAGCACATACAGATACAATACAAAAATCCATAGCCAGAAAAACTATCATACAACTAGCACACAAACAAAACAAACCTAAAAGCACGCACACACACAAAAACACACACACACACAAACAAACACAAACACAGCTTTTTGATGAGGGAGTTTTTAATAAATTTGGAATAATTTATTTTATTTTCAATCGTTATTCAGTTACGTTTTCAATAAAACTTTGAAGCAATGACAGAAATGTGTGAAAATAAAAACATCAGTGTTACCCGAGGCATGGACCGATCTAGACAATTCCGACTGAAGAGTCAAAAATTTTAAATGTTTAAATTATAAAATCTGTCGGAGACCAAGAAACTAACCAAATTTATACTTCTTTTTTGTTTGTCACATCAATTTTTTTATTGATATTCAACTAAATACTAAGTTTTCTAACTTTTAATAAAAAATGCTGCCCATATCTCTCCACCGGCTCATATAGATCCGCCACTCAATGAATCTAGTAAAAAATCTTCCAGCCTAAATCGCTATATCATCACTACATTCCAAACAAAATCGAGCTATAGTATGGCTATAATGTGAGTTCGGCAATGATAACGTTAACTAATCGGTCGATCCATGATAATATATATAGAGAACGTCGGTATTAGAGTATTGAGTTCTACATGAATCTAGTAAAAAACTATCAGCCTAATCTCCTTCATTAACGTCATATTCTAAAATTAAATTTAACTCTGTTGCGTAGTACGTAAGAATCACTGTTCGGTTTTTGACTAAAACTGAGTTTCACTGAATTTTTATAAAAATTCTGCTCACAATAGTGAAGGCCATGATTCCCTTCGACCAAATCTAAATCAAAACTAGATTCTAGATCCAAAACTGGCGGTATCATAATGAATTTAGGAAGGAATTCCATAGAAAAATAATAACAATTTTTTTTAAATTTCTCAAAATGTCAGACAATTTTGAAGAAACGTCTTTTCTTGGATGTTTCGAGATTTTCGACTCCAAGTACCAGAACACGATCAACAAATTTGAGGACTGCGTCGGCTTGTGCCTCAACTACAGTGGTGACAAGAAAGGTTACCTCATCGCATTCAGGGTTTTGTTTTCAATTATATTTCAATAATTTTTTTTTCATTTTTAATAATTTCATTTATTTTCTATCTTTTTAACTTTTATTCCTATTTCATTTCAAGTTACTCAAGTAAAAATATCTCATTTGATATTTTTTTCAAACAATATTTAAATAAAATGAAAACATCTAACTCATATTTCTTTTAAATACTGTTTGTTTCCTCCCTCAACTTCCCCACCGAACGACTCCAGCTGGGTAGCGAGTGCCACTGCGGTGTGGATCCGGACGTGAAGGTACCATCCACCGAGTGTGGCCACAAATGCTCCAACAGATACGTCTGTGGCGGCGAACATTTTTACGCTGTTTACTCGGGTTTTGTATCATATAGTATCAAAGAACTTTTACTGTACACGTGTCTACAAATTTTTTTGTATTGAATTGTGTTGTATTGTATTGTGTTGTGTTGTATTATATTGTATTGTGTTGTACTATATTGTATGGTGTTGTATTGTGTTGTATTGTATTGTATTGATATGTAGAAAGACTAAAAAAGATGCTGATTATGTAGAATCATTATCAGTATCACAAAGTTTTTGTAGAATCATAATCATTATTGATATCGTAAAGTAATCACACACACACACACACACCACATACACAAACACGCACACACACACATATGCACATACATACATATATACACACACACACACAAACACACATAGGACAACAGTTCACAAATTAGTTGGATGCTTCAGACAGAGAGAGTTAGAAAAGTTGTCACAGGCACCCATCAAGTTGGCAACCAACAAAACCTTCCACACTTGCTCGGAACTTTGCATAAATGCCAACAGCAAACATTTTGGTATCAAGGTTGAAAAAGAAACTTTCTTACTCATTATTATTATTCCATTTTAATACTAATTTTTCGCCAAAAGACCATACATATATGGTAGGCGAAATAGTGTAGTGGTGAATTGCCCGGTTTTGCGAGGCGCAATGATCGGATTCAAATACAAAAGATTCCTATTTGTGATAAACGAACGTATGGTGTGTAATATTGCACTGTGTCTTTGAAGAATGTCTTACCAAAAATCATCTCTAAATATAGGTGAATTTAGAAAGTTTAAACTTAACTTGAATACGAATTAAGCAGAATGCTAACTTAAATTGGAAACTGTGATTTCATTTGACAAAAAATTTATATACCTGTGATAAGTAGAATTGAATTAATAAAAAGAACTTTGTATTTAAAACACGCCTGAAGTTGATAATGCTAAAAACAAAAATTGCATCATAAAAGTCTAATTAGTCATAAAATAATTAATTCATTAATTAATTCATTTTTTTTTTATTATTATTATTAAATAAAAAAATCAAATCAATCGAAAAGGAAAATAAATGGTGTCTGTGTGGCGACCTCCTCATACCGAATGAAATGCTGCCAGTAAGTGAATGTTCGTCCGCATGTTTGGACGGCCCTGGTAAGATGTGTGGTTTTAAAAATATCTACTCTGTCTACACCGGTCAGTCTTCTTGTGTTTTTCCCCAACCAACATACACACGCACACGCACACAACACACGCACACACAACACACGCACACTCACGGAGGACAACCAACACAAACTAGCACAGTGGTATGTTTTGGCTGGAGAAAAATAAAAAGAAAAATTTTTTATTCAGAATATGTGTGTGCGAACTGAAAAAACTAGACAATTTAGATTTCAGTAGAGTTAAAGTACAGTGAAATATAAAGTAGATTGGATCATATTTTTGTTTTTATTATAGCACATACAACGTTACAGATATATCATCTGTATATCTTTTACTATGTTCTTCATATTTTCAACCATTGATTTGAAGCAGGCTGTTTATCATAAATGAGTTTGATTCTGATTATGTTATTGGGAAATAAAGTTGAGGTAAAAAAGCGAAACGAAAATTTTCTAAAATACACAGACCAGGCTAGAATGAATCTAAATAATCTTATCTAAACTTATTTTTCAGTGAAAAAAAGATATAAATGTATTTTAATATTATAAGTTAATGTTGCACAAAAACGAAGCATTGTTTGGTGATTAATCAGTCATTGAAACATTTGTTTTTAAACTAAAAAACTTGAAAAGAGAGATAGATACAAATCTGGGCGTTCATAAGCGAAGATTATTTAAAAATTTTACTTTGGCCAGTCCCCGTGGAATATATTTTTCGTGTTACCATCGTTGGTAAATAAAATTTTTTTTCGCATCGCTCAATTTAAATGAAATTTATTTAAAAAATTACTTTCAGTGAGATACCCGCAAGAATTCGCTAGCACAAAACACCAGTACAGATTCTGTTTGAATGAGAAGCTGAGCGAAAGTGGCTACAACTGCAATCGTCATCGCTGCTTTCCTGGCTGGAGAGGAGAGTTTTGTGACGGCAGAGGTCAGTGGGGGGTTTTCTGGGTCCAGCCGGGCGCGACAAATTGTTTTAAGGGGTGGAAAAACCCGCCAAAATTTTCGCTTATTCCATAATGTTAATATTTTAAGTAGATTTGCTCTGCATGACTGTCTCAAGACAGTTCTTTATTTTTGAGTATTACTATTACATAAATATTTTCAGACTAGCTTTGACACATTTTTTTGGAGGGGAAGGGGGTGACTGCACCTTTGCGTCCCCTCTGCTTCGCTAGTACTGTTGGGGAATGCGTTAAATTAAATAAGTGAAATTTGTACGTATTCATATTTTTACTGCACGTACGCTGGCAAATATGCACGAAAATTCGCGTTAGATTTAGCAACTTTCTGGGTTTTTTCAAATTTATTTAAATTTAAAATTTAATTAAAAGACAGAAATTGCTTTTAGCCTAAGTAAATTGTTGAATGAATGATTTAAGATTGCAGAGTGAACAACGGAGATTGCGGAAAGAGTGCGAAGTGCGAAGAGTTCGTGTTGAACGGGAAGAAGGCAGCTGAGTGCGTTCTGAAACAGACTACCATAAAAAGCATTGTCGAATCCAATTCTATCATTATGTTATTAAACAACATACACAGTTTAACGACATCGTATTGAAAATAATAACCACAACCAAGTAAACCACTGTCAAAAATTTAAAAAAAAAATTAAAAAAATCACCTGAATGAAACCTCCACAGCTCGCCGCAGGTTGATTTCAACTCGGCCGCCAACAAACGTCACGGAAAATTTCCAAAATAGTTCGCTCATCGCTTCCAACTCCGTGAGAGATTTTCTGACGCCAGCAGTCCTCATTAGCGCTCCGGTGGGCATCGCCTTCTCCTTCGTCTTCGTCACGTCAATCATCTTCAACAAACAGAAGAAAAAGGATTTGATGAATATTCATCAAAACATGTTGAAAGTTTATAAGGCTCTTATGGTGCAAAATGACCTTGGTGAGCTGAACGAAGGAATGGTGTTTGGTTAGATATGTTTGTTTGCGATGTAGGCTAATAATGGTTTAAATGTACGAACCAATCACATGCAGATAAGAATACCACTGGTGATACAAATGATGAAGAACATACAAACGATCAAAATGATGACAATGATGAGAAGAGTTAGACTTAGAATCAACCAAAAGACTCAGAATCAACCAAAATCATTCAAAACATCAGTTAAGGATATTAGACAAAATTTAAATTGTAATGGTTAAAGATATGCTTATCTTCTTACTCCATTATCATTTTATAATATTGTCTTGCATGTTTTGGCAGTTTCTGCATCTGTCAGATTCTGATTTTTTAAAGGATAATACAAAACATATATAATATAATATAATATATACATGCCTATATATATATATATGTATATACAAGGGGAGGCCTATTTACCAGCATACAAAACCTTCTTATGGGTTGAAGCAGGCATATGCAAAGAACCTCAATTTTTTTAACTTTTATTTATTTTCAGTAATGTCTCCCCTTGCTCCAAACCACATAACTAAAATAATAGGACTAATCGATCAATTCGATCTATTGGTCGGGCTATTTGTCGTGCTTGGATTGTTGGCTTTCGAAATTGCATGGATTTTAACGAGCAAGCTAAATGAAATATTTACTTGATTTAATATGCTTAAATTAAAATTGTAGTCATTCTATTTAATTTTAATAATGATAAATAGAATTATGTATTATTAAATTATTTTTGTTAATTTGAATATAAAAATTGCTTTTGGTCCGGTGAAATCCGGTGACTTACTGAAGCCGAAGGTTGGCTTAGTAGGATTGAACTATAGTCACCCTTTTTTTACACTATTCGAACATGTTAAAAATTGGTTTGCTTATGAAATAAACGGCCTAAATAAATCAAAATTGTTATTTGAACAACTATCTTCATTATATTCAATGAATATTTTACATTCTGCTGGTGATCATAAGAAACTGGTTGCTGAAATCATACGTTGGCTTACATGTAAGTGGCTTACAGGGTTTCATAGAACTCTTACGATAGCACTTTTTTGTACATATAATGCTTTAAATAAATCAATATATTCATATCACAATTATTTTTGTCAGTATAAATATAGAAATTGCTTTTGTCAGGTGAAAAACAGTGGCTTACTGAAGCCGTAGGTTGGCTTAATCGGATTTTTTTTCATGTACACAATACTATGAGATAAATCAATCCAACAATCAAACAATCAGTCGGTCGGTCAGCCAGCCAGCCAGCCAGCCAGTCAGATATGTATATATATATAAAGTAAGAAAGAGAGAGAGAGAGAATGAGACAAGGGGTATGCGTAAAAAATTACGTTTCAATAAATAGATAAAAATATACAATACACATACACGCACACTCACACAAACAAACTCACACACACATACACACACACACACACGCACACACACACACATATATATATATATATATATATATAACGCTTGTATTAAAAGAAGAATGCAAGCTTTTGAAATGCATAATGAGAACAACTATTTTTATTTCGTTGTCGTTGTTGTTGTAATTATTATTATATTGTTGTTATTGTTGTTCGTTGATGATGGTTGTGATGATGATGATGATGATCGTCATCATAGTTAACAAGATTAACAGTATAACATACTTAAAATACATTGACAGAAATGATATGAATGTTTATTGTACTGCGTATATATGATGGCAGTATGTATGTATGCGTGTATGTATGTATGTATGTTTGTATGTATGTGTGTCTGTGTCTTTTTATGTGTACATGTTTGTATTCGAGATTTTAGTAAGAAAAGAAAAACACAACAGTTGCTTTTATTTGACATCAAAAGATGAAAAGTGACGAAATTAAAATTTGTTAAATGTCAATTTTTAAAAAGTTCAGATTTTAAACAAACAAATATAACAAAATATCGATCGATAAAAAATAATTATCACGAAACATGAATACTTAGTAAGGACAGTTGACAGCATATCATAATGACTAAATCAACATACCAAACAGAAATTATTCATGCATGCATATATACAAAGTAAATCAGGAAATATCCAAAAATTATATAACCAAAATAAGAAACTAGAAACCAGTCAACATTTTACAAATAAATAAATAGACATTATTAAAAAGATTGTTCAAAAATGGTAAAATTTAAGGCGAAGACAAAAAAAATTGTAGTTTGTTTTGTTGGTGTTGTGTGGTGCTAAGAAGCGAAAACAAACACACCACAAAAAAAAATATTAAAAAGTCGCAAGAATGGTAGTCAGTCACCTACCTACAATTAAATTACTCTCAGGGCCCTAGCTTACCTGTAATGATAACTCAACTCATTTATTTTACATATTTTAACGTTTTAATTTTACTTGAAGCTTTTAATTTATGTTAATGTTAATATTTTACTTGAAACTTTTTAACTAATGTTAAGCCCTAGCCTACCTACAGTTGTTCAACTCATCTCAATCCCTAACTTACCTATGAATAAAATTAAGTCCGGTAAAGAAAATAGAAAGTTGAAGAGAAACATAACAACAACGACACCGAATGAATGGATGTTGTGTATGTGTGTGTTGTATTTATGTGTGTGCGTGTATGTAAATGTGCGCGCGCGTACCTTCCAGAAACTTCTTCACCCACTACGGACGAACCTCCATTGCATCGACCATCATATGACACGCACCGAGGAAATGAATTTTACCGGATACTGAAAAACAAAATTGAAAGAAAAAGTTAATTTTTTTAAATAAAAAATAAGCCATTGAAAAAAAGTAAGAAGCAACTTATCTTACCATGAGATTATCATCATGAAACGTGCTGACTCCCACCACAACCCACCTCTGATCATTCTGTAGACATTTTTTATTGGCTTAGTAGTAAATGAATGTTAAAACGAAAGAACAAACGAATAAATGATTGAGCGAATGATTGAGTGATTGAATAAATTAACCAATCTATGAATCAATGAATGAATAGAATGAGTCAATTAATAGATGAATGAAAGATTGTGTGACAAAATGAATAAATGAAAAAAATAAAAACAACGAAACTAAACCATACTTCAAAAATCGTCGTTGTTGTTTTCTTCGAGTTGTCATCGGAACGATCAACATGAGACCACCATCTGAAACGTGCTGACGCCCACCACTACCCACCTCTCATCAGTCTGTAGACAAGTTATTTTTATTAGCTTAGTAGTAAATGAATGTTAGAATCTTAGAAGCAAAAAATTATAAAATGGAAATAATGGCAAATAAATAATATTTGAAAATAATAAAGAGAGTAAAATGTAAAAAAAACTTACCGTCGTCCATTCGACAAAGGCAAAATGATGAGTGCCTTCCGTTTCCTGCGTTGTTCTCCAAAACTGGTGCCAGTCCTCCTCGAGATTGTTGTTGAAACACAGCCCGTGGAATGGAGAAAGAGAAAATTCTCACTAGAAAGCTTAGCGGTGCCTGCATCTTAAATTGCTTAATAAAAATAATCCTATCTACCTATTCAATTACCTTAACTAATCTATAATAAATTGTTAATGGTACGATAGTCGAAAGTTCCTCTTCATTCTCCCTCCTTGCACAGAGGTTCACCGACAGCCAGGGCACCGGATAGTAAACCATTGCCGTGCGGATAGTAGACTACTGCCTTGCGGATAGTAAACCATTTGCCGTCCGGAAGCCGTGCGGGTAGTAGACTATGGCCATGCCGCATAGTAAATCATTACCGTGCAGATAGTAAACCATTGCCGTCCGGATAGTAAACTATTGCCGGTTCACCACTAGCCGCCAAGGCTTACCTCTGACAAGAGACTTCGAAATTCAGAGTCTATCGGCTATCGTACCCTCAACTTACCTATTCATTACAATTAAGCCCTAGCTTACCTAAAATTACAAAACTCAAGAGCCCAATTCATTGGCCTTTCGGCACCCACCCCACCACCTACGTAATGCCTTGGGCTCCAACTTAGTAATAATAATATAAAACTTAAACCCTAAATCTATTAATGAGTATGTGTTACAACGTAGCCTTAACCTACCTATTCATTACATTACGGTCCTAGCTTACCTAAAATTACAAAACTCAAGAGCCCAATTCATTGGCCTTTCGGCACCCACCCCACCACCTACGTAATGCCTTGGGCTCCAACTTAATAATGATAATGTAAAACTTAACAATTAACCTACCTATCGATACACTTACAGCGTTTTAATTTACATTACAATATTTTTCCTAGAATTACAATATTGCTCTTAACTACCAATGAAATTACATTACTCTCAACCTTAGTAATAATAAATTAGAATGTGTAATGAAAATAAAATTACGCTCAAATACTAACATATGTGTTTATGTATGTATTTGTGTGTGTGTGTGTAATACGCTGGTGCGTGTAATGTGGGTGCAAGATAAAATAGAAGAGATAAACTTACGCTGCCTACCTATTCAACTACATTAGTGTTGGATGCTCCCTATCTATCCTACCTACAATTAAAATTAGGCCTATCTAACCTACCTATATACCTACTTAATGTAATTGTGTATGCGTGTGTGTGAGCATTCCTACTTAATGTTAAATTACAGAAAAAAAGAAGAAAACGTATCCCAGTCAGGCAGGTATTCTTTGCCACTGAATGAACGAACGTAGCCTGACATCTTTCATGATGAACTCCTCTGGAAGCTTTAACCTGAATTAAATGAAAAAATCCTATTTAATTAATTAATTTTAATGAAAATAGAGAAACGAGCCGCGGTGAAATCCACCAGCCGGAAAAGCCAGCAAACTGGTAAAAAAAGAAAACGTTAAGAAACCGTAAAGTCGAAAGTTAGGGTTAAGGTTGAACGTAGGGTGACATCACAACCATTCTGATCCTCCACGACGAACTCCTCTGGAAGCTATAACCTGAATGAATGAACCTGAATGAACCTAGATGAATGGACAAATCTTATTTATTTAATTAATTTAAATGAAAATAGAGAAACGCAAAGCCGACCGGTCGGCAAAGAAAAGAACCGCAAAGAACGGTATCTATATAGGATTTATGCTCTATATAACTCTATATAACTCTATATAACTCTATATAACTCTATATAACTCTATATAACTCTATATAACTCTATATAACTCTATATAACTCTATATAACTCTATATAACTCTATATAACTCTATATAACTCTATATAACTCTATATAACTCTATATAACTCTATATAACTCTATATAACTCTATATAACTCTATATAACTCTATATAACTCTATATAACTCTATATAACTCTATATAACTCTATATAACTCTATATAACTCTATATAACTCTATATAACTCTATATAACTCTATATAACTCTATATAACTCTATATAACTCTATATAACTCTATATAACTCTATATAACTCTATATAACTCTATATAACTCTATATAAAATAAAATTAAATAAAAATAAATAAATTAAAAAAATATAAATATAAAAAATGAGATCAGGCACTCCGACTCGAGCGAGGCAGAAAAGCCTGATCTGATTTCAACATTTTTTCAGCTCCTATTTATACTCGTTTCAACCATACATTTTCATCATTTCAATCATTCACATCAATAAAAAACTTATTTAATGTATGTACTACACTATTATACAGTCTTAACCAAAATGCTAACCGTACTAAATTGAAGTCATCGAACGAACGCCTTCGAAACTTTCTGGTTGGCTGGTTGAATCTGCTATATTGCTTTTCATATAAACATAACCTAATATAATATAATTTAATTATTTGTATACATGGATTCTAGTCACTTTATAATATTTATATATAATAAAAATTCATTATAAAAGCAACAGTAATCAGTGCTATATATGTAAGCACGTAGCTCAAATTTTTCGGGGAGAATTCGAAATTGTTTGAGACCACACCTTGCTTAACATCCAATTCCAAGCTGAGCCAAGCCAAGCTGAGCCAATATGCATAAATTCATTATAAAAAACAACAGTAGCCATTACTATATATGTACGCACGCAGTTCAAATTTTTCGTGAGAATTCAAAATAGTTTAAGACCACACCTTGCTTAACATCCGATTCCAAGCCGAGCCAAGCCAAGCTGAGCCAATATGCATAGATTTATAAGCGCTTTTATATTAAAATTTTGCTCGCTTTTTAAACGAATATCCCAATATAACAAATTCTCCATCCTATTTTAACTTTCTTTGATGCTTTTTAATCAGTCAAGTCACAAAAATCATTAGTGATATTGCAATGAAATCAATTTGAAATTTTTTTTTAATTATTGATAAAATTTTAAAATTGTTGATAAAAATAACTAGTATATATAGTGTAGTAAAACGTTTAAAATTTTCTGAGAGAACTCAAAATAATTTGAGATTACACCATAACACAATTGTACAATTTCAATGTGTAAATACAACATTATAAATGTATTATAACTACGTGTATATATCTATCTATTTCTTTATTAAGTTCTGCCTGTGTATGATATTTTGTCAAATTTATTTGATAGGAATTGAATATAACCTTTATACCGGCTGATTAACTACCATGCAGTAAAATAACTACTGTTGACACCATTTCCTCCAACGATTTCGCAACGAATTGCCCATACCATATAATTAGAATAAACTCTTTCAATCAATGTTTAAATTTTTATATTGTCATTTATTCTTTCGTTTTTGTTTCTGTACTAATTTTCGTGTCAGATACAATAATTTAGTTTTTAAGTAAATTTTCCTTTTCATAGCTATACACAAACATGCCTACCTGTTGCATTAAAAATTGCATTAATAATAAATAGAAATGAGAAAATTTCTGATGCATCTTTTCACAGGTTTATTTTCAAATTAACTTCACACTAAAATATTCTAATTATATGTATGTATATATATATGTGGTGACCGGTTCCATTTTAGAACCATCTAGAGGCCGAGCACTTGCAACATTGCATTATAACATTGTTCTAAGTCGAGTGACAATCTGAATTTTTTTCGGTTTGTTGCTTCATGCTAAAGCGTGAGTGAATTTTTTAATATATATTTTTTAAATAATTTTTTTAATAATTTTAAAATATTAAATATTTTTTTTGCCATTTTTTGAATATTTATATTTCTAATACGTCTGCATTTCCTAACTTATGAATTATTTAATATTCAGTGACTAGTGGTCCTTTCCATGTTAATTTTCACACAATTCATTTAATTTCATCACATTGATATTGATAACTTTTTTCAATAGAAATAGTTAATATTAATTTAAATTAATAATTAAATTAATGATTAATCATTTCATCACTTCACTCACAATACAATCACATCATCAATCACATCATCCAATTATTATCACATCATGGATCATGATCATGCTGCAAATGTTTTCCTAATGGTATTTTTTTACCTGGTTAAAAACTTCTTATTAATATATTTTTTAATTTCAAAATGTGAAAATAATCTAATATTTTTATTCTGAAAATATAGGAAAATGGCCCCAAAGAAGAAGCAAGAAGAGGAAAGGCCCATTCTTATAGGTCGCATGGGGACTAATTTGAAATGTGGAATCGTCGGGCTGCCTAATGTCGGGTGGGCATGATGAACTTTAGTTTCACCCAATTGATCACCACACACACACACACACATACAAACACACACACACACATCAAATGCATGCTGTGTGTGTTTGTTGTTAATACTTCTCAGAGAATTACTAAATTACTAGCCTGTAAACTATAAAAATTGCCTAAAATATACATTTATGTAATGTTATTATATATATATATAATATAAATAAATAAAAAAAAAATAATATATATATATATATATATTATAATAAGAATGTAATATATTTTTTGATCAACAGCAAATCAACATTTTTCAATGTCCTAACCAAAAGCCAAGCTGCAGCTGAAAACTTCCCTTTCTGTACAATAGATCCTAATGAAAGTATTATTATTATTATATTTCATAATTATTCATATATTTTTATTTATAATTATTATAATATTATTATTTGTATAATCATCATCATCATTAATAATTGATTGATTGATTAATTAATTGATTGATTGATTGATTGATTGATTGATTGATTGATTGATTGATTGATTGATTGATTGATAGTGTTGTTATTAAGCTATATCTATGCTAGCTTGTTCATTTGATACATAATTTTCCTGCTACAAACTAAATTAATTTTCTATATTTATTATTTTTTTTTATATAGAAATTATTGTATGAGTGTATTTTAAAAAAAATTAAATCAAAAATTAAATGTTAATTAATTAATTTAAGGCCGAGTACCGGTGCCAGATGCTCGATTTGATTACCTCTGCAAGTATTTCAAACCAGCCAGGTAGGTGGCTTTGTTAGTTTTTTGGTATATATTTTTGTATATTTGTATCGTTTTGTATTTTTCTTTTGTATTTTCTTAACATTCTATTAATTTATAAACTTTGTTTGTTTGTTTTTTGTATTTTTTTGTATTTTTTTGATTTGTTTGTATTTGACTTTTGTATTTTTTAGTATTTTTGTATTTTTTAATTAAATATTTAAAAAGAAAGCAGAAAATTTTTTCATGTGTTATAGTCCGTGTTGATTTTTAGAGTGTTAAAAGTTCATTACGACTAGCTCTAGGTCGTTCATTTGTTACTGCTATTTTTCCAGAGTTAAGTTTGTAGGTTCGTTTAATTGAGATTGTTAAACATGCCAACAGCAAGGTGCCGTCGTTTTTGAATGTGGTGGACATAGCGGGGCTTGTAAAGGGGGCTCACGAGGGCCAGGGCTTGGGAAATGCCTTCCTGTCACAAATTAGGGCGTGCGATGCCCTGTTTCATATGTGCAGTTGGTTATTTTTCGTTTGTCTTTGTGGTTGTTTGTATGGTTGGTTGTTTGTTTGTGTGGTTGGTTGTTTGTGTGTGTGGTTGTTTGTGTGGG